GGTGCTGCTCTGACAGCTCTCCTCTCTCTCAGATAGCAAATGGAGCATCGCTGAAAACCTTTCTTCACTCAATATCTGCAGGACATATTCTCATAATCAGTGACTCTTACAATCCACCAGATCACCTACTATCCAAACAAAGCTGTAGGTATATTCTGTCATCCATCCATCCATCTTCTAGTTGGATTATGGGGCTGATGTGTGGCTCTGATCGGAAGCTCACCAGTTCATATCCCTGGGTCAGCGGAGTGATGTCACCATTGGGCCCCTGAGCAAGGCCCTTAATGCCCAATTGCTCCAGGGACTGTCTGACCCCAAACATTACTTTGGATAGAAGTGTTTGTTAAATGCAAATCATCCATTTAAGCCTGGCAACAAAATATAATCTGCTTCCTGTCTTATGATTATGCCGCTAAATAGAGAGTTACTTGGATTTATGGTTCTCTGGTGAAATTTTATGTATATCCTTTTATATGTCTGCTGAATGTAGGAACATGCTTTCTTCCTTGGAGGAAGTTTGTTTCTGTGCATCATGAAAGATGCGCCTTGCTGGAGAACCAAAGTAGTTTTCAGCACAGTTTGATCCCTGGAAAAATCACAAATGCTGGTCCAAGCCAAGAGGAGCGGTCCTTTGAACCCTGACTGCATGGGTTTTATAAGCTGGATCTCCTGTCTGCTTTCTCTGCAAGATTAGATTATGAATTTAAAGCTCAGGAATTACAAAGGCTCCTGCTTTTATGAGGCAATGTCCTGTCGGTCCGGGTTTGCCGGGGGTGTGGATGCACGCTGAAGCTTCACCGCATGTCTCTGGCTCTTTGAGACTATCGACTAATGGAGTCTCTCCGTACTCCTCGTGAAAGTCAGAGATGTCTTTTTATAATAAATTCAGCGTTTGTTTTTTTTTTTTGTTTTTTTTGCAGTGCATTAGATTTTTTTTTTCCAGAATCAGTTTTGGATTTTCTCTGTTTTGTTAAGATAGCCTTTGTAAAATATGAGCCCTTCCCCATCCCCTGTGCTTGTTTGATTTTTATTGGTCTGAAGGTGACTTAACCTCATCTTACAGCGCGGTTCGGCCTGAGTATGGCTGCCCGCTGGGCTCTGCTCCCCGAGCTCACACTCCACGCTGATGTGTCCTATATGCTGTTCCCGCCGATTAATAATTCATTTATTTGGTTTTGTTGCCCTTCACTTACATCCCGTCATCCGGGGAAACACCCAGAGGAATTCTGTCATTGCCCCAGGAAAACATCAAACACCGTCCCTAAAAAAAAACGAAACCAGTCGGGAGTTGGGGAGAAGAGTTAAATTCGAATTACAGGCCGTGGCGACTTTCATGTGGCCGTCTGCTTTCAAGCCAGCCAACATGAAAGCGGAGGGGCATCAATGTGCCGGTGCGGCGGCTCCGGGGGCCGCAGAGCTGACCCCTGACCTCCTCAGTGGCGGCTTCCCTTCAGGCAGCACTGTTCCTCTTTTTCCCCTTTAAATGGAGATCAGCCGCGCTGCCGCGGTGATCACGTACACCTCACACACGTCTCCCAGGCGGGGTGGGGGGCTTTACCTCTATTAGTTTGCATTTTGTATTGTTACGACTCACTTTTAATCTTTCTATTCATAAAATTCACACCAGTTGGCAAACCGCTCGTGTTTTTCTTTATTTATTTCGTCCCCATTTGTCGTAATTAATGCCATTCCGAAACAAAAGCAGGTTTCCAACAAAACTGCCTTCCTCTAATTGCGTGAAACAATGTCGACGGGCCATTTTTGTTCTTCCCCGGTGATGGGCGGACACGTAATAATGGGTGTGCATTCCCCTATTGTGCCTGCTGGTCAGGAGGGGGGGGGTCATCACATACTCCATTGTTGTTCCTTGACTGGCGAGTTGCTGGTGCTGAATTGGAGCTGAGCAGATTTACCCGACGAGCACTGGCTTCCCTTTTGCAAAGAACGAGGCAAAATTAATTGAGGACAATCCCAGCTGCCGAACAATAAACAATCCTTCGTCTTACGTGGCGATGATCTCCGGCGTGACAAAGACGCTCGCAGGCCGAGCTGCCGTTGCGATCAGACTCCCTTTCAGGCCTGCAGCAACATTGTCTTCCTGGATACATCACACCTCACCACCTTTACGTTTTTGGGGCTGTGCTTTCAAATTTCAGGCACATACTCTATTGATGTAAGTCCACTAGGAAGAAATCCTGTTAAGAAGTTTTTTTTAAAACTACTTTTCTGACACCAAAGAAAAGGGATTTTCATAAATACAGAGATATGGTTTCATCACAAAGTACAATTCCGAAGATAAATGTCTGGACACTTTTGTTAGCTATAGACTGGTGTTTACCGCTTTTTAATCCACTTGACTGAATATTGAGTTTTCCTCTTCTTTGGAAATGTTTACAGGATGCCCATACATTTCTGGTAGCTCCAGCAAGGTAAACAGCCATCAGAGACTTATTTGTGTGGTTGCATAACTATTGTAATTTTCCGTGGCCTTGCTATACTATTTTTAATATAAAAGACACTTTTCCTCCTTGATATTTTTTCCCTCAGGTGGCATGCTGCCATAATAGGACCATTAGATGGCAGAGAGTCACAGCGCTAAGTATGAAGTGAAATTCGGGGTCTGCACGTAGCTGGGGTCTCAGGGGTCTTTGGCATTCTGACGAATGGTGCCTGGAACACAGCTACTGGACGGGCTTCAACTCCCTCCCTGCAGCGATGCCAGGATTACACACGGGTGCAGTGTGTCCCCACTTTGTGCAGCCCTCTGTTTGCTTTCAGGGGGGGGCGTGTTTTAGGAACCGGTACAAGACGTAATCATGCAGGTCGGGGCTCTGTGAGAAACATTGTTCATCTGTGTTTTATGATGAATTGAGAGGAGCCCAAAATCATTTGAAAGCTGCTTACATCAAAGAGATGGCAGGTGTGCTTAAGGCTGTGACCCCTGCTCTCCTCATCCTTTGAGGCGTTTATTTAGTATGAATATAACACGTGGCACATGAGCATGAAAGAAAAGAGTTTATTTTGGCACGAGATCTAGCAGCATTTTGGTGCGTAGCAGAGAATCCCAAGCTGCATCTCTGAATTTCACTAGGGTTGCCAACTTTGGTCAGCTGGCTGGCATGAAATTTTCAATTGAGACAAGTCTGCACACACATGCATATGTATTTACATGTATATAACAGTTTTATTACTTTGTAAATAATCTGTAGGGTTTGCAAACTACTGCAACGCTTTCGATGTAGCTAATTTTAGGTTTATAACTGAATAATTTTGATTCGCCGTAAGATTTCTTACGTGAGCATGAGAGTCTGAAAGCGTGAGTGTCATGCCAGATGCGTGAGTTGGCAACCCTGTTTTTGTCTTGTAGCATAATTTTTAATGTAAAAGCTTTACCATAAACACCTTCCGCCTTGATATATTGCAGGTGACTGTTGACAAAAAGGATTAATGCTGCTTTGTATCTATTTATTCTCACCTTGCAGTGCAGCCTGGGATTGGAAATCAGAGGTGTAGATGATTTTTGCGGATCTGGCCTGTTATAAATGGACTTTATATATGATCTGTCGCCTTCAAAGGAAATCAAAGGCGTGATTTTAACTCACTGGAAAATGTGCCAAGTGGCTGGACTTTAAGCGAGTTGAACCCGATTGAAATTGCAAAACTGCCGTCGTGTTCGTTCCGCTTGTACATTGAACAAGAGCTAGGATTCTACATGCAGAAAAAGAGTGTGAGAATTTTCAGGCACAAAGAAAAGGAATATGTTTCTTTTGGCCCCACCCTGAACAGTCTCTCAGCCGCGAATTAGCTCGAGGGCACCAGGGTGAGATGGAAGTCGTTCCTTGAATTATCCAAACCGTTTCACGCAGACATAGCACACGCGGTGCAGAAAGACATGGAGCAAGACTTGTAGGAGCTCAAGAAAAATAAAATATCTGAAGCTAGCACTTTAAACTCTCCCCAGGCATGGAGAGAAGAGGTGCAAAACGGTGCCAAGTCTTCAAGAAAGCGTATGCTGCACGTCCTAAACGGACGCGGTCCTCCTCTGCCGGCTGCTGCTGGCTGCGCTGTCAGGACAGACGTAGAAGCTGCCTTTGAAGATCAGGACAGCGAAGTTCTTTAAAGGTCCTCCTTGAGAGGGTCTCCTTGAGTCAAGGATAAATATAGAGCTGGCAGATAGACCCCTGGACGAATCGGATGGAGACCCCCTAAGATGCTTAATGAGAAAACTACAGCTTTTTGAATGGCTTTTAATGTAGCTTATTTTATTGCATAATGCACCGTCATCACAAGTCATAAACACAATTAACTAGCATCTTCTGGTCCAGTCTCTTGCAATAAGGTTCCCTACGTATGCCTGTTAAGTTTTAAAAAGCTATACTTTTTGCATAATGCTCTATAATATGGTTATGTTCCTTCAGGAGTAGTTCAGTAGACGCTGTGGACAGTAACGAGCCAGTGGTTAATGGAATGGCCTCATCTGCCTTTGATTTTGTAACATCTACACTGGGTATTGCTCTTTGACCGACAGACCACGTTAGACATACTGTGCTGTGTTTGCTGCAGTTTCATGGCATCTTGTACTTAAGTTTTGCTCTGCTTCTTATAACCTAATTAAAAAGCTGAGGACAGATGGTATTTTCAGAGAATCCTGTGTTACTTAGTATAAAGCTTTTTCTGGAGTGCATACGGGTCTCACCTCGCTTCAGAGTCATCGGGTGTCACAGTACATGCAGGGACCATTGCTAGCTTCTTCCAGCACATTCTCCATGTATCATACAGTCACGCATTAACATGGCTGCATAACCTGCTGATACGGAGCCCAGAAATGCTCCTGGGCTACCCATGCACACTGTTCTTTGCTTTTCTCCCTTTGTTCTTCTAACACTGCCGTCGTGCCAGTCCACGGTGCTCCAGTCATCTCATTGCTCACCCCATGGCCCTTCTACCCCCCCTCCCCCACCTCGCCCCCCACCCCCTCCATCTCCTGCCCACTATTCCAGGGCCACTCGTGTGCCACGCGGGGGATTTCCTGTGCCATGACCAGCTCGCCTGTGTGTCTGAGGGCTGGCTCTGTGACGGAGAGCCCGACTGTCCGGATGGTTCCGACGAAACTCTGGACAGATGTAAGTACACTGAGAAGACGCTTGGTGAAGCGTGAGAGGAGTCTGAGGCACGTCAACAGGGGGAGTCTAAGGCATGTCACAAGGGGGAGTCTGAGGCACGTCACAAGGGGGAGTCTGAGGCACGTCAACAGGGGGAGTCTGAGGCATGTCACAAGGGGGAGTCTGAGGCACGTCACAAGGGGCCTGCTGCTCCTCAGGCGCCCAGGCTGCTGCTTCTGATGACTGATACCGATCTGACGCCCAGAACATTCCTCTGAACTGTATTTTCATTGCCTTCCTGTATCATGTGGGTTTTCTCCAGATACTCCTTCAGTTGAAATACATGGATTTAGGTTAAATCGTGTCTTTCAATTCCCTGGCGAGTGACTGTGTGTGTGAGTGTGTGCAGGTATCTGTAGGGTGTTTGCATGTGTACCATAGCCTTATATGCCATGCTCTGCCCTGTGTCCCTGGGCAGGATAAGTAGCTGGAGGATGGATGGATGGATGGATGGACGGATGGACGGATGGACGGACGAATGCAATTGTAATTGTCAGGGCATTCGATAACAATGAGGAATTGATGAAGAACATTATATATAATAGAAATTAATTGTATGGTTATTTATATGACTGATAATTAGTTTACTACACAGATTTTGTTGTGGTATAGTACACAACAAATCCGATATTCAGCGCCAATGCAGACCTATTTTACAATTCTCGTGTCGGCCATATGTGACCGATCCATGTCCGATACTTACTTATTGAGTTTTTGGCAGTGTCTAAAAGGATAGCTCCGGTTTCTTGTTAAATCTGTTTGCACAATCAATCGCACAACAGCTGTTTCCCATTTTAATTATGTTTTTTGCGGCATTGAAGCTGAACTTTGGTACTATGTATACTGCCACTCAGTTTTTGCCACTCAGTGGGTGTGAACGCAGTGACTTCCGCCTGCTGTGATGTCACGTACATACCCTTTGCAGTAGGAGGAGCATAAGAATTACAATCTTTGCAAAAACGAAGTTTGAGAGGTGGGAGTAGTGTTTAATGGAAAATCACACTAAACAAATCGTACACAATATTGCGAGATATTGCGAGTAATATGAAAAAACCTGGAGCTGGATGAGTAAACTTTGAAGAGCTGAGAAAGTACATTTCATAACATCGCAAAGAAATGGGGAAATGCAAATTCCAGCAAGACAAAGAATTTAGGATATGGTTACAACCCGTTGGTGTTGGATAAGGATTTTGCAGTGTGTGTAAAAAAGTATTTAATCTAGGTACAATGGGTGTCAATGCCTTATATGCAATCTGATAGCCACCAATTTGAGGTAAAAGGCAGGCAACAATTAACTATGTGTAGCTACTTTGCCATGACCGATAAAGTAACCTCTTCAACTACTACTAGCACCATTAACACTAAAAATGCTGCTGTAGTGACCACCGCATCCAGCAGAGCTGCTACCGCAAATAAAGATCGAGCAACCGCCGCGCAGCGTTTGGTTCGAATGCGACACTGCAAGCGGAGGTGCTCTGATGTCACCACTGCTATGCGGTACCATTCACACACGTCCAATGAAGGTGTTTCTGAGTTACTCCAGGCAATGTTTCCTGAATCAGAATGCATTCATTCTCTTATTTACACAGTTAAAACTATGTAATTTCTATAACCTGTTAAAAACTGAGAAAGTAATGTTTTAGAAGGGCTTTAGTGCTATGTTTCCATAGAGGTTGCTCTGCTGGCAGTTGCCCAGTTTTGGAGATATCGTCGTAGAAATGTCGGCATCTCGAATTGAATGGGAGTGAATAGCATTCCTTCTATGGTCATTAAAGTTCCAGAAGAATACTTTTGAAAAATTCGACAGCAACGTCTCTTACCAGAAATCATGACTTGGTTACTCAAGATAATCCACAGACGTTGTAATGAGCAGTTTAATGTATGAAAAATTTTCTTCTACCAAACTTCACACACTGATCGTATCACTGCGCAGAAGATATGAGCACTAGTACCCTGTCAAGATAATAGGCCTACCGATATTTCTACATCCGATATCTCCAAAACTAGGCAGCTCCCAGCAGAACAACATAGATGGATAGTCAGCACTAAAGCCCATCTGAAACGTACCTTGTTAAGTTTTGGGGTGATCTTATGTCTACCCTTCAAAATCTAGTTAATGGGTACTTTAATTTTAATAGGCTATTGTAAGCTGTCCCGCGAGCCACTTCTAGTTCAGTTCAGAGTGATACGTTTGACTTGGGCAGATTTTCTGAAATATCCAAGATTATCGTCATAGCGTTATTGTCAAACTGAATGGTTGCAATTCAGAATTTGGGACATAGGTATTTCATAAATTCATTGTGTGTGTGTTTTTCTCTGTGTGTAGTATCCACTGTTACAGACATGGATCATGTATGACATTAAAAATGTTAAAAAGCATTTAATTAGATTTGCTGATACATGCAGACACTCTGTTCTAGGAGCATAAAGATTTTTTGGCACACACACACACACACATATACACTCACCTAAAGGATTATTAGGAACACCTGTTTAATTTCTCATTAATGCAATTATCTAATCAACCAATCACATGGCAGTTGCTTCAATGCATTTAGCGGTGTGGTCCTGGTCAAGACAATCTCCTGAATTTTGAGCGTGGCATGGTTGTTGGTGCCAGACGGGCCGGTCTGAGTATTTCACAATCTGCTCAGTTACTGGGATTTTCACGCACAACCATTTCTAGGGTTTACAAAGAATGGTGTGCAAAGGGAAAAACATCCAGTATGCAGCAGTCCTGTGGGCGAAAATGCCTTGTTGATGCTAGAGGTCAGAGGAGAATGGGCCGACTGATTCAAGCTGATAGAAGAGCAACTTTGACTGAAATAACCACTCGTTACAACCGAGGTATGCAGCAAAGCATTTGTGAAGCCACAACATGCATAACCTTGAGGCGGATGGGCTACAACAGCAGAAGACCCCACCGGGTACCACTCATCTCCACTACAAATAGGAAAAAGAGGCTACAATTTGCACGAGCTCACCAAAATTGGACAGTTGAAGACTGGAAAAATGTTGCCTGGTCTGATGAGTCTCGATTTCTGTTGAGACATTCAAATGGTAGAGTCAGAATTTGGCGTAAACAGAATGAGAACATGGATCCATCATGCCTTGTTACCACTGTGCAGGCTGGTGGTGGTGGTGTAATGGTGTGGGGGATGTTTTCTTGGCACACTTTAGGCCCCTTAGTGCCAATTGGGCATCGTTTAAATGCCACGGTCTAGCGGAGCATCACGGAGCATTGTTTCTGACCATGTCCATCCCTTTATGACCACCATGTACCCATCCTCTGATGGCTACTTCCAGCAGGATAATGCACCATGTCACAAAGCTCGAATCATTTCAAATTGGTTTCTTGAACATGACAATGAGTTCACTGTACTACAATGGCCCCCACAGTCACCAGATCTCAACCCAATAGAGCATCTTTGGGATGTGGTGGAACGGGAGCTTCGTGCCCTGGATGTGCATCCCACAAATCTCCATCAACTGCAAGATGCTATCCTATCAATATGGGCCAACATTCCTAAAGAATGCTTTCAGCACCTTGTTGAATCAATGCCACGTAGAATTAAGGCAGTTCTGAAGGCGAAAGGGGGTCAAACACCGTATTAGTATGGTGTTCCTAATAATCCTTTAGGTGAGTGTATATATATATATATATATATTTCTATTCATATATTAAAGTAAAAAGAGCTGTATGTTGTGTCGAAATCGGTCTCGACAGTTCGAAAATTGATTGGAACTGAAACAATGTGCATCGGCCCATCCCTTGTACGCATCCAGTACAATTGTTTCTTTTTCTTATCATCTTGACTAATTTTCTCATGTAAAACTGTGGCCGTCATATGTTTGGAGCACCTATTCAGCAAAAGTTTTATTTGTTTATTTTCGGAGAATAAAACAGGGAGCCATCATCCGTCATGATCGCCATGCGTGAATATGTGCCGTGTAATTATCCAATAAACTGGTTTAATGCCTGGCGGCAGAATATTCTGGTTATACTGGGGGCACTTTATATGCCACGAGTGTGAAGAGCGGGGTGATCGTCATGGTCCATCATGCTGGGTGTGCGTCCGGGACGAAGCCTCTTAATGACGTCGCGTTCGCTCCGTCTCAGTGTGGTTTCCAGCCCGGCTGCAGATGCAGTCATTATGAATGTTTATTCCGTTTCTCCTGAATGGAAACAGTAATTAACATAACTGGTGTGTTAGAATACATTCAGCTTAACGAGTTATAATCAAGGCACGTTGACTACGCCATGAGTAATATTAATCAGCGATCTTACATGAAGATTATAATGAGTAAAGAGCCGATATGTGTTTTTTGATTTATTTTTAAAAATATAATCCATGTAAATTTGTCACCTATCCTGCATCATAATGGAGATACTGTATAGTATATAAACACTTAGGTAAATCAAAATAAGTTACAAACAAGATATCCACTGCAACCCTGACCAGGATACGGTTAGGAGACGGATGGGTAAATTTATATCTCATGCTGCAGTCACTTAATCATTTACATGATGTGCAGTTCATGCAAGACTGCAGATTTACTAAGTAATCTGTTACGTGCAGTTTGTACCGTAAACGCAGAATCTCTGGGGTTGCCAGCGCATCACAATAGAAGGGCAGACGCTGCACTTCACCCCTTCTAATTACACAGCCAGTGACGCCGCACTTTCATGGCGTCGAGCAGCCCGTGTGCTAAGCCCTCGCAATGACCGGCGACGTCTCATCTTCTCTGCAAGCTCTTTCATTAGATGTCCGCCAGACTCCATTTTCTTTGTAATGTGTCTTCAAATTGCATATTTATTAAGGAGTTATTGTGGGGCATCTCATTAACGCGGATTATCTAAGGACAGAGGACTGAATTAAATAGTTAGGAGAAGAGCTACACACATAAATGTCTTGTTTGCTTTGTTGTTATAATGTTTGGGCCAAGACACGTTACTGAAA